CTCTGGGTTCCTGAAGGACTTTGGCCGTTTTGATGCCAGGTGAACCCCTGGGGTGGTCTTCCGAGCGACCGTCCTGGGGCTCTCTCGGGATCCCGTGAAGTCCTTTTTCCACCCTCCTGAGGCTCTGAGGCTCATCGCATGCGAAAAGGCGAGGTCGTCACAAAGACATAATTGCCCTTACGTTATTACCGAACTCGGGACTTCTGGGCGCCGCTAAGATGGCTCTTGGCAATGTGGTTGGGGCAGGCAGTTGACGAATTCATCACGAAGCTCAATCGTCGTCGTCGGTGCGAACCTTGGGGTGTCCTTTTGAGACTGCTTGGTGGTCTTCGCAGAGCGCAACGGGTCCTCTTGAGGTTCCTTCTGGGGCGTCGGGAGGCATCTGGGAGACTCCTTGGGGCCTCGTGGGGCTCTCTTGGCGATATCTGGGGCTGTCGTGGCCTCAAAGCACCTTCTGCTTCTTCATCTTCTTCCTTGTGGTTCCTGTAAAGGCCGTGTTGTGTCCATGGGGCACTCTTTGGGACCTCCGATGCCGTCCCGTTGGGCCGTCCCGAAGCAGTCTTATTTGTTTCAACGGCTCTTGGGCGTCTGGCGGGGTGGTAAACATTGACGTGAGCGTGAGTGTCGCCACTGTCATCGTCGCCTTCATATGGGCGTCGTCCCTATCGTCAGCATCGTCACACGCAAAAATGGTCGTCGTCGGCCAAATGTTCCAAAGAAGCCTCCGAGAACATCTGCAGCCGTCGGAGAGGCAGCACCGGCATTGCAAGTCCATCGCAAGGCCCAAAGGCAGAATAAGTAAGAATGTCTGGTACGCTCTACTGTCTTGAAGAACGCTGGCCTGATTGGAGCTAGGTGGAACCCCACGGGGGTCCTCTGAGCGACCGTCCTGGGGCTCTATCGGGATCCTCTGAAAGCATTGTTGGAACATCCGGAGGCTCGGAGGTCCATCGCAAGCGAAAAGACGAGGTCTTCACAAAGACATGCTTTCCCGTACATGTAATGGACGAACTCAGGTCGTCTGGGCGCCTTCATGAAGGCTCTGAGGAGCCTGATGGGACGTTTAGTTTATGATTTAGGGGATTCGGGTGGCATTGAACTGCTCCGTAGGAGCCTTGTGGGGACATCTAGAAGGCGTCCTGGAGGCCTCTAGAAAGCATCTGGCAAGGTCGTGTTGGCCTTGGGGCCGAAACGAAAAGATCTTGCCCTGCCTGAGCCGTCTGTAAGCCTTTTTGGCCCGTCTTGGCGGTTTCGAGGGCCGTGCGGAGACCATCTTGGGCCGTCTCGGGGCTATCTTCAAAGGCTCTGGGGACCCCCATCGACCGTCTCGGGGCTCTGTCGGGCGCCGATAGGGGAGGCCGATACGAAAGGCCAATAGGAAACCAAAAGGGGAGTGTCTGAAGAGCCTATGGTTTTCTTCAGGTGTTTGAAGGGCGTTGGTCTCCTGAGGCCCTGTTGGAAGCCCCCTGGACGCCTCCCTGGAGCATCTTTGGCCCCGTCCTGGGACCATCTTGAGCCGTCTGGGCCGTCTGGAGAACATCTTGGGCCGCCTTGGTGTCCGAGAAACCTGGACCTGTCACAACAAGAGCCGACAACGGCGCAGTGTGTCAGCTCCTGGGTGCGTGAGAACCTGCAGGAATCGAGAAGACCGTTCGGTCAAGTCCGAGCGGTCTCTCGGGGGCCTTGTAGAGCCTTAAAGCTAAGGGCTCTTCCGGGTCTTATGGTGGATTGTTGGGCGCGCCTTGAAATGTTTGGGGGCCTCGTCGGGCCTCCTGGGGTCCCTTGGGGCCTCTTGGAAACTCTTGCAGGCATCGTGGGGGCGTTTGAGGGTCTCTTGGGGGCCTCGCAAAAACTGTTTGGCGGCCTCTAGGGGGGCCCTTGGATGCCTCTTGGGACCTCTTGGCAACTTCGTGAGACTTCTTGAAGCCTCTTGGACGCTTTTTGGAAGCCTCTTGGGGCCTCCTGGGGAGGCTCGGGGGGTCGATCTCGAGGCCTCAGCAAGCCCCCTCTTCTGACATGGTCCCGCAATCTCCACGCGCGCCAAATCCCAGCGGTGGCGCTCCCTGGCCCACGTGCCCCAGAAGAGCGGTCCTGCCTAACGCCCGGCAGTGAAAGCCTGAAGCTTCCGCTCCTCACGGTGTCTGACTTCCTGCTGCTCCGCCCCCTCCCCAATGCTACCGCGAAGAAACAACCACACCCATAATTGCTGAGGTCGCACTGCCCTGGGTCTCTGGGATCGGTTAGCACAAACATCTATTCCCGCCCGGACGGGCGGGCAAATCACTGTCCATATGCCCCACTCCTCGAGAGAGTTCGAGATTCTGGGGGCACGCCGCCGAAACTGGACTGTGGATACCAACAATTTCAGAAAATGCCTCCAGCCCTCCCGTGCCGCCCTCCTGTGCACCTACTCCCCCCTTCCCCCCGCCTCCCCCCCGTGGGTCCTGCGCCGAGTGTCCCCGCCCCCCTCCCCCCCCACCCCCCGCAGGCCGGCCCCTGCCTCGGGGTCTGCCTCGAACTTCTCCTTCATCGTCTCCGAATGGATCCTCGCGCAGGGCTCGAGTGACCGCTTGCCACCTCGGGCGTGCGGGGCCAGACTCCCCTTGGGACGGGCCCAGCACCGATCCAGGAAATCCGCGCGAACCTCCGACATGACATGCTATGATTATGCCATGGCTCCTCGGCCGACCAGACGGCGAGGCACAGCGGCTCCTCGGCCGACTAGACGACGTGGTGCATAATACACCGAGCATCTCCGCGACACACGACTGGCTTGTGCTCGGGCTCACTCGGGCAGCCTCCTCCCTCACGCGCGTAAGGGGGAAGAGGGGGAGGAGCAGCAGCAGCAGCAGCAGCAGAGGAGGAGGGAGGAGGAAGAAGAAGAGGAGAAGAGGAAGGACGGGGGAAGGAGGCCGGCCAGCGGACAGGAAGAGAACGGGGAGGAAGGAGCAGGACGGGAGGAAGGGATGTGAAGGGAGAGGCGCAGCGGTGGCGCTGCAGGGGCGCGCCCAGGACGCTCTTGTCGAGTGGGCAGAAGCCGATCAGGAACGACCTGCACACCGCCCGGTCCCTGAAGCTCGCCTCGGCCGCGGGGACCCGGCCGGCCCGCGGCGGGCTCGGCGAGCGGCCCCGAGGTCTGCTAGGCTCCGTCTGGCGGGCCCGGTGCGCCTCCGCAGGGGACTCCCACACCACCGCCACCACCCAGCTGGCCGCCCCCAGTGGGCCCAACGAGGGGGGAACGGAGGGCGAGGATGGGGGGGAGCGAGGAGAGAGGAAGGATAATGAGAAGGAGGACGAGGAGAGGAGGAGTCACGGGAAGGAAGGGAGAAGCAGGAAGAGTGGGAGCGAGGAGTGAGGAAGCATGGACGAGGAGGCAGGGAATTGTCTGGGGTCTACATTCGGTTTAATACCACATGATCTGACCTTTTGCTACCGATGCTTTGATAACACACCACCAGACGATGTTGGCGCGGTGATCGGTGAAGCACCAGCGAGAGAATATAAGGGACGACTATACGAGACATTGATAGAGGAGACGAGAAACTAGGAGGTAGAGGGAGCGGAACATGTGGAGAAAGAGGGGAGACAACAGAAAAACTACTTTAGGATAGCGACATAAATAAAGGAGAAGAGAAGAGGAAACGAATAATGAATCGAAACGAAGAGAACATGAGAGAGGATAAGAGAAGAGGAATCACATAGAAGATATAATCCGCCACCGTGCCTGCAGCACATAGCAGAGTGTCGAAGGCTCACGCGGTTTTGAGAAGTCACGCAGTTATGAAACAAATGCACAATTCTTACGGGCCCACACCACGAAATTCCCGGGCTCGGCCTTGCGCTCCCAGAGTGTTCCGCGTAGGCTTCCGGGACGGTGCTTCCACCCAGGGCGGGCCCAAAATGGGCCAAGACATCCCTGAAAAGGTCCCAGGAGGGTCCACGAAGCCTTCGAGACGGCCCCAAAACGTCCAAAATGGCCCAAAACGGCCGAACACAAATTCGAAGCGCCCCAAGCAAAACCCAAGAGCTTTCCCAAGAAGGCCCTGGAGGCCAAAATCACAGAGAGAGCGTGATCCACCGCCGCTTTACTATGGAAAATTCCCCCCCTCCAGAACCCGGGGGTCCCCCCTCCTTCGAAAATCCCTCCCCCTGCTGGAACCCCCCCCTTCCCCCCCCCTTCCCCGCCCCCCCCCCCCGACCCCTCCCCCCCCCCTCCAGAAAACCGGGGGGGGTCATTCCCAGTTCGACCCCCCCCCCCTTCCAGAAATCCGGAAGGGTTAGTACCGCCGGTTCGGATCCCCGCCCTCCAGAAAACCAGAGGGGTCACTGCCAGTTCGACCCCCCCCCCCCTCACCACTGTCCCCACCACTGTCCCAGTGTCCCCACTGTTCCCACACCGTTGTCCCCGCTGTCCCCACCAGTGCCCCCACCAATATCTCACTGTCCCCACTGTCCCCGCCATTGTCCCACCAAGGTCCCTCTCCCCATTGTCCCAACCACTGTCCCCACTGTTCCCACTGTCCCCACTGTCCCCGCCGCTGTCCCACTGTATTGTTCCACTGTCCCCACTGTCCCCACCACTGTCCCACTGTCCCCACTGTCCACGCCACTCTCCCCAGTGTACCACTGTCCCACCACCGTCCTCACCACCGCTTTCACCATTGTCCCCGCCACCACTATTGTCCCCACCACCGTTCCACTGTCCCCACTGTCCCCGCCGCTGTCCCGCTCTCCCCTCACTACTGTCCCCACCACCACCACCGTCCCCACCACTGTCCCACTGTCCCCACCACTGTCCCACTGTCCCCGCACCACTGTCCCCAGTCCCCACCACCACCGTCCTCACCACTGTCCCAGTGTCCCCACCACTGCCCCACTGTCCCGAAGATCGGAAATCGTTTGCCGGAAGCGTGAAAGGGGGGGGTCGAACTGGTAGTGACCCCCCCACCCTTATTCATGATGGACGGGGGGGGGAGGGGGGTGTTCGAACCCGCTAGTGAACCCCAACCGGCTTTCCGCCAACAGCAGAAAAAAACACGCCCGTTTGAATGATGGAATTGCATAGTTTTTCCATGCAGCTTGGGTTATCCAACGCTCGAGATTCCGACGCTACAAAACGTCCCGCGGGGTCCCCGGGACCGCCCCATGACGGCCTCGGCGGCCCCTGAAAAAGACCCAAGACAGTTAAAATTGCCCAGAAACTGCCCAGGACGCGACCGACACCACTCAATGTGGCCCCAAGACGGCCACAAAACGAACACAAAACGGGGAACGCGAACCGAACATAAAAGCGTTCCGTCCCGAGGGGTGGCCCGGGAGGCCCCGAGACGCTTCCAAAGCCCCAAGGAGCCGTCAAGAGGCACACAACAAACCGCAAGACGCCCCAAACATGCCCAAGAAAGGCCCCAAAATAGCCCCCCGAAGAAAGCCAAAAAACTGCCCCGGGATGCACCCGAGAGGCTCCGACGACATCCCAGCGAGCCCCAAAAGGCCTTAGACACACAACCCAGGCGCGGAGGCAAAATGGGACGACAGCCACCGAACAATAAAACAGGACATGCTATAACTGAAAAGACAAGGAAACAATCGACGATACGCGACGAACATGATAAACAATTCTGACGCGATGGCAAAGATGCGAGGAGAAAGACACTAGTAGACGCCACCAACAAGAAACACTAAAGTACCAACGCAAAGGAAGGAACGAGAGAAAGAAAGAGAGAGAAGGAAAAGAACAACAGAAGAGAAAACGATATACATATAGAAGCGCGCGTAAAAAAGAGGGGAAGAAACAGAGAGATAACTATAGAGAGAGAGGGGAAAGAAACAATGGATGCATGAAAACCCAAAAGGGGGCATTGCGGTTACAGCCTCGATAGAAGCACAACCCCGCTTCCGCATCGACGGCGCGCATGCCGATACCGACCTTTTCAACAGGCTAACACCTAGTCGCGTTGGGGGGGGGCACCGCCCCTCAACGCGCCTAGGGGGGAAGCCGATAAAAGGAAACGACAGACCACCCCATCCACAATAATCAGAGCGTTGTTCGTTGGAAGCGAAAAGTTCACACTAGCACTTTGAAGGGGCTGAATGCTAAGGGAAACAAGCCTGTCAATAACATGTTGTTGCTCTGTTGCGCGACAACCGCGGCGGCGCGTCCGAATCGCCGACCCACGCCCTGCGATCGCGCCCTGAATCTCCTGCCAAAGAGCACCTTCAACTCGCTGGAGACATGTCTCAGCATGTACAGCGACCCGATGCAACGCGACCCTGGATACTCAAGCAAACGCATCACAGGGTGAACTGACAGGGGGGACAGGGCCGGCCGGGCCCCTGGCCCCGCATCGCCACAGCACCCCGAGGGCTTTACTAAAGAAAACCTCGGACTTTACTGTCGCGAAGCAACGGCTTTACCAAAAAGAAGAAGCGGCTCTACCAAAGCGAGTAAGCGGCTTTGCAACAGAGAGGAAGCGGCTCTAATAGAAGCGAGCCGCTCAATGCATCCCGGCAAGAAACGACGCCCTAGAAAGAGCAACCGCAGTTTTCATAAAGCGGCGAGACGGCCGGGGTAAAACTGCGCACAACAATTTCGCTCCCCCCATAAAACCTGGCGCGGGACTCCAGGAAGGAGGGCGGGGCGCAAGTTCGCCCGTGGGCCCGATCCCCGTTGCCGCCGTCGCCGCGATGTCCGTCGTCGCCGCCGTCGCCGTTGTCGCCGTTGTCGTCGCCGTCGGCGCAGACGCCGCCGTCGTCGTCGCCGTCGCCGTCGCCGCGACGCCCGCGCATTCACATTATTACCAACGGCGAGTCGCGCGACCGCGCGCGACATTGCGTTCGCATTTCCGCTTCGACGGGGGCCCAGGCGGGCATTTTTTTCAGTCAGACCCATAACTTTTCAAATTGATGCAGATAATGAAAAGAATGCGCCTCTGGGCGCGTCGCCCGAGACCCGCGGGCGCGCCCGCCCGTTAACTCCCAGCGCAGGCGGCTGCTCCCATGAGAGGGGCGGAAGACATCCAGCGATGGACCCAACGTGCCAAGGCTCAAACCTGGCCGCGGGGACCCGGGCGGGGTTGGAGGGGGGGCGGCGCCCCCCGGACATGGGGGCGCGCGACGCCCACCCTTGGGATTTTTAAACCGCGGAGCCGCGCCGCCTTCCCCTTAATGAGGGTTCGAAAGGAAGGGGGTGGAGGGACCTCCTGGCTCACGCCGCTACGACGATCGCCCTCGGGAGGGGAAGGGCGGGGGGGGGGGGTCTGCCTCGACTCACTGGGGTCGCCGGCAGCACGCCGCATGGCCGCGCGGCGCCGGCGGGCGCCCAGGCTGCGCGGTCTGCGGGCAGCTGCGCGAAGCCGCCCTAATGTGGCACTCCTGGCCAAATTGGGGCTGGCTGGAGTCGGGCTGCTGAGAGCTCATCAAGAGCAACAGCGTGCGAAAGCAAAGCCTCTGACGAGGAGACAGAGAAAAGACGGGGCACAATGCGCTCGCGAGCATTGGCGCCCTGGCTCACTGGTGGGCGCGGGAGGAGTGATCTCGCGAATGGAACATCAGCCGAGCAAACAAGATAGCGAAGCACGCCACCCCCACCTCCACAGACACAGCCATACACGCGCGCCTCGACACGTTGTCGGTACCTCCTGCTCGTATTCCAAGAGTTACGATGAAGTATGAACGAAAGGTGGGGGGAGTTACCCGATAAGGAAGAGACGAATGATCACGACAGCAGCGTCATGAAGGGAGGCTTCTGGCACCCACTTTCGATTCCTAGGAGCAGCGATAAGGACCAACGGAGACGAAACTTGAACCTTCCATACTATAACAACGTTTCTGGGTCGATTTCCGATTGGAGATATCAGTGGACCCACATGCCCGCAAGTAGTCACCACGTGCACCACGCAGTTGAAAAGATACCGATGCACGATGCGCCCCTGGCCTCCGACGGGCAATCACAATAGCATCGGCGCCCAACCTCTCGCGCATTTCACTCGGGAGACGGCGGTTGATGTCGGAACGAACGGAACGGCTGTTCGAACCGTTGCAGCCTTAGAACATACACTGAGAGAGAAGCACTGAAGCTTGAA